TGAACAAGCTATTGGTATTATTGACTCTAATCTTCACACTTCACAGAATGAAACTCATAACTGCTTTTTTCTTCTTCTGTCCTTTTTGATTCCAGCAGGCTTTGCAAAGGACAAGACGGTCGATGAGGAAAACTCGATGGGTATGATGCTGTATTCTTTCAGTGTTCAGTTTCAAATGTACAGTACAGCTGGAAAAAAACTAATGTTTTTGACATATTTGACTTTTCCATCAGAATTTGAGGGTGCTGGACGAGACCTCTTCAGTTTTGCTTGCTTTGTGAATGAAATGAAAAATACTTTATTTATCCCAGAAGGGAAATTCAACAAATTCATATTCAATATGTACCAAACAGACTAAAACCTACAAACTATAAATCATTTACAACTATGTGTTAATACTGTATGTTTAAAATGTTTTATTTGACTCAAGAAACCTCCACAGTTGAGAAGTTGGAACCCGTCATTGTTTATGTTTGTTTGTTTTTTATATACACCTAATTAACAGATTGTTTCAGCACTATTGAGGGGAGACAAAAGTAGTATTGCAGTAGTATTTGCAGAAGTCCCAAACTGAATTGAACCGCAGCTGTTATGAACTGAACCAGAAATTATGTTTATTTATTTTCCTTTATTTTTATTTTATTTTTTTACAGAATTTGGTGTCGAGGAAAGGCCCAAAAAAGGTGACATTAGCAAAACTGTCATTCATGATAATTGACACAAGGTGTAAAAAGCACAGCAGACTGATTTTTCTCTCTGTGATTCAGTCCTTACAGGAAACGTCACAGAACTTATATTGAAATTTGATCCAGACAATCCAAAACTGAGAGCAAAAGGTAATTTTTATATCTCTCAATTAATAACTGTTGACAGCAGTGAAATATATTGATAATAGACAAACACCCTCAAATACTTTGTAGAACAAGCTCTTTGTCAAATTAACAATACACATTTCCCTTTATTGGGCTGTTTGAATATTATGTTACATCAGCTAACGTTTCCTTTGTCTAAGATCACTTCCTGTTTTAACAGTAAGTTATGGTTTTTCTATTCAATCTGCTTCAGGGTCAGAAAACAAGGCAGCTTAGGGTGAAGAACGTTGTTTTCCTATTTACTGAAAATCCACATTAGCCTCTAAGCAGCCAGTTCGCTTTGTGGATAATATGTACACAGTGCTGAACAGAGGGACATAATTAACATGATTTCAGGGAATTGCATTAGTCCCAAACTGAATTGACCTGAAACTGAATGAATGTATGTATGTATGTATTTATTTATTTTATTTATTTATTTATTTTTTAAAATTTTTTCACAGGAAGTGTTGTTGAGAAGAGGACCCAAAAAGGTAATTTTCATATCTCTCAATAGATAACTGATCACAGCAGTGAAATATATTGATGATAGACAAACGCCCTCAAATACTTTGTACAACAAACTCTTTGGGAAATTAAATGTCAGCTGCCACTAATTGTTTTTTATCAGAATTTTGGGAAAGTACAACAGATTCTTAGTTTATTTGACAGCAGCAAGAAATGCACATTTTCAGCACTAGTCATTTTTTAAAAAATTGGTTAATAGTTTTATTTATAAAATGGCAAGAAATACATAAAAATAGGAAGTTCACAACCCAAGTTGACATCTTCAAGCTGCTTGTTTTTCAAATTTGATGGTGTTCACTGAACAGTCCTTTAAAACAGTCGCCTGGAAGAAACTAGAACCAAAGTTCGTTTTTGTGCAAATTAAGGAATTTTTAAAAAATCTGACCATCAACTAATTCACAAACCAAATACCTTGTCAGTTCTACTTGTTAATGCTAGTGACTAGATTGCTTCATTCACAACTGTATGATTTAGTCTATTAAAGAATCTTTGTTGTGCGTACGTGTCGGGGTTCAAAAGAGGCCAAACAGAAACACATTGCGGCACCTCATCCTCCAGATCCTGCTGGGAACGACAAACAAGAGTCTAAAGCTAAAGAACGTCAGGACGAAGACCGTGAGCCTTTGTTGAACAACCAAAGTAAGAACACAGACTGATCTGCAAACATCCACTGCTACAGAACAGCCGCCTGCAAGAAACTAGAACCAAAGTTCATTTTTGTGCAAATTAAATGATTTAAAAAAAAAATTCTGACCATCAGCTAATTCACAAACCACATTACTTTATCAGTTCTGCTTGTTAATGATAATGACTAGATTGCTTCATTCACAACTCCTTAAGATGTTCTCTGTATGAATTAGTCAATTAAAGAATCTTTGTTGCGTGCGTGCATGTGTGTGCGTGTCGGGGTTCAATAGAGATCAAACAGAAACAAATTGTGGCACCTCATCCTCCAGATCCTGCTGGGAACGACAAGCCAGAGCCTAATGTCGAGAAACCTCAGGAGAAAGAGCATGAGCCTTCGTTGAACGACCAAAGTAAAAACACAAAGTGTGATCTGCAAACAGCCACTGCTACTCAACAGCCAGGTTTGGAAAATACACTCTTTGAGCTAGATTTGGAATTGTTACAGTCAAACAGTCAGTGGGAGAAAGACAGATCCACACATGAAATGATAAAATACAGTGTTTAATGTTGATTCGGCAACTGTGAGACTATTTGTTTCACATCAAGTATATACTTCTTTATTAGTTCTTTAGTTGGTGTATTTGCTCTTCTCTTATGAAACAATATCATCACTTTAGAGAAATATATATTGTGTTTATCATATTTTCTGTTAATTAAATAATCACATTGAAATGACCTTCCATCTTGTTCAGATGATAGTGGACAAGTTAATCTCTTAAAAATAAGAGTTTGAATTGCCGATACAGAGTGTGTGTGTGTGTGTGTGTGTGTGTATATATACACACACACACACACGCTTTTCACTGTACAGTATAGAAGGGAGGAATGAAAGTGAGGGAATAGCCTGAATTCTTCATGGGACAAGGTTCTTTGTTATGTAGGGATCAAAAACTCGCCCATAACTACCAACAGTTTGTACAGAAAGCTGTTTATGTGTAGTATTGTTGAACAAGCTATTGGTATTATTGACTCTAATCTTCACACTTCACAGAATGAAACTCATAACTGCTTTTTT